TTTTCTGCAGGCACAGTTCCATCACCCGCCTCAGCTGCCCAACTGCCAGCTGCCTCAGGACAGGTTCTGATCCCAGGGAAGGGTAAGGGGCCCAGTCTTACTATGTCTGCACACCAGGACCAGGAACTCCAGGAATACTCAGAGGTACAATTCTTTAAGCACCACCCCAATACCTGGTCCTGCTCCAGGTGGTTTCAAGAAATTACCCATAATCCTTGTGGCTATCCTGCCAGGAAATGTATAGGGCCCCCTTTTGCTAATAAAAAAAAGCAAGGCCAGGAGAGGCTAAGTACCTTCCCCAGGGTCCTAGACGGTATCAGTATTCGGTCTCCTGCCTCTCTGGATCCGAATCCTCTGCACTTTCCCACCAGCTGCCTCTGGGGAGAGCCAGCCCCCATGTGTGCCCACAAGGCTAATATTAGCACCTGAGAGATGGAGATCCCGTTTTAGTTTGCACACCGGGAACATGCCTTTCCACAGAGGATGAGCGAGATGAGCCACATGTCCTCAGGTTGTGGACAGGGCTGTGACTCAGCCTCCCTAAAAAGAATGTTGTGCCCTTGATGTGCCGTGGGAGACAGACTGGTGGACTCGTGGAGACGGTACAAAGGGCAGGGCGGGCACAAATCAAACTCAATGACTGCATCTGCCCTCATGGCCAGAGAACAGCCTGGCACATAATTGGCCAATCCTCCGGCAGGCAGGCTTTGCAACAGGTCTTTCAACCATGGTTGTTTTCCACCGGGAGACCAAAAGACAGAGAAGTCAGTCCACACTGGTGTAGACTTACCTGTCCCCTCTCACTGGAGCAGCTTAGCTCACCCCAAGCTCCCCACAGGACCTCTGCTGCACTTGCACAAGCTCCACCCACCTCACCCCCTGAGGAACCTCCTGTTCTCACTGGGATATTGACTCTGGATTTAGAGTGCCAGAATGCTAAAGCCCACTTCTGCCAAATCTGCCCTGTGTGATCTTGGGGATATCCTATAATAACCTATCTGTGCTTCTGTGTTCTCTTTTGTTCTCAGGGCTGACAACAGTATCTACCTGATAGTGGCCTGAATTGCTTTTCTCCGAAATTTACAATGGTGACACTTAACCCCTAGAACCTCGGAATTTGGAGACAGGACTTTTAAAGAGGTGAGGATATTAAAGTGATGTAACAAGGACACATCTCTAATCCATTATGACAGCTGAGACTCCAGGAGTTCCTTGGCTCTTGAGGACTTTCCACTTCATAAGCATTGGCACCAGATGAATGTAAGTAATTCCGTACTTTAAGTATGACAGATAAAAGCCAATGCTTTGAAGTCAAGAGCCTTCCCCAGGGGTCTGTACAGGGGCAGCATTGAGTCTCTGGCCTGTTGTCTAGATCCAAACCCCCTGTGCTCTCCGATCAGCTACCTCTGGAGATAGCTAGCCCCTGCAGGTGCCCACAAGGCTGGCATTGGTGCCTGAAGGAGGGTTAGGAACATGACTGAAGCCTGCAGCTCAGGGATGTACGTCCTCCCAGTAGCAAGCAAATGGTCCTCGGCCAGTCCAGGAGGGATGCCTCAGTGGAAACCAGCCTAGAAGCAGCTCGATCCCGAAATTTTAGCTCCAGAATTATGAGACAATAAAGTTCTGTTGTCTCAGTCGGGCTGCCCGAGGTATTTTGTTTCAGCAGTCCGACAAACTAATCTGCTGTCTCACAGAACAATTGCAGGGACCCAGATAGAAGAAGAATCTAAACCACCTGGCTAAATTCTTGACCCCCAGTTCTTTCCTTTTATCTTCCGGATTTGTAAACATGCAGCCACCTACGTTCATCTGGCAGGTGTCAATGCTTGTAAAGTGGAAGGAACATCCTGTGAGTGCCAAGGAGTTCCAGGTCTTAGAGTTCTTGCCTCCACCCTAAACTATAAACTGTGAAGCGGTGCCTCCCTTAAGCACTTGTGGATTCAACGTTCTTTCAGTAAATATTTGGGGACTAGAGTAGGCACTGAGGAATATAGCCTCTGCCTTTGGGGAGTCTAATGTAGTAGCCACGAAGGGATGACACATTGATTTTGTAATAGCATTGGTTTCCCGTGGGTTTCTTTCATTATTACTTATTACTGTCATGTTGTGAGAACTCATGGTTAGTGTGGGGGCACACCGGCCAGGGTGTGCATTTGGAAGCCAAAGGACAACTTTGTGGACTGGTTTTCCCCTTGCACCTTTACACGGGTTCCGGGGATGGAACTTGGCCACCAGGCTTGCACAGCAATCGCGTTTGCCTCCTAAACTGGCCTTGGTTCTCTTTCATATTCAAACAAGAAGCACAGGAGTTACAAAAGAACAGTGCTGGCTCGAGATTTCTGATGATTTCCGATTAAGAGAAAGCTTCATTTAACCGACGCACACTGTGTTTGCTGCACACCACGCTGTTCTGCCGACTACTCACTGATCAGAGCTGAGCCGCAGCTCTGTTATTTCAGTTTCACAAGTGAGAATTTCCCCAGGCTCGTACGCCTTGCAAGAGTTAAAGCTGGGATTCCAATCCAGATATTTTAGCATCAGAATCCAAACCCCTCGGAAGAGCGTGTAGCTGTGACCCTATCAAAGGCAGTTCTGAGAAGTGGCCTTTCCCATCTAGCTACTGTGGCCTGGGATGTGGGCTTTGTGCTATGGGGTGAGGCACGGACAGGTGGGATTTGGGTCTTTTTATAAAATGATTTCTTTCCACTATTGCAACTCAGAAGTAAGGTCTAGAACTTGGCCAAACAGGGAGTAGCACAAGAGGCGTCCAGTTCTATTGTCCTGTGGTGTTTTCTCATAGCAGCTCCATGTTCACCGGCTAAAGCACACCCGGCTAAGCATGCTTCCCACAGAAACCTCTCTCCTAAGGGCCTCCTTTGCCTCTGGCAATGACTCTCACTTAGTAGATGTAGGACTTATTTTTCCCTCAGAAACTATGTGTTAGGAAACTCCTGGTGTTGCCCCCAAGTCTCTTACATGTGCAAGAGCTTTCTGTCAGCATTCAGAAGAGCACTCAGATGCAAAAGCCGGTTCCAAACCAAGTAACCATTAAGGGAAGGAGTGAAAAGCCTGTGAGAGGGTCCCAGACCCTGTCCAAAGAGCAGAAGACCACAGCTGGAGAGACTTGGTGAAGCCTTATGGAGGAAGCTGTTGAGAACTGTTAGTCTCACGATGCCCCATCCCCAGAAGGAAGAGAAGGAAGAGGAAGAGGGTGCCTAGCTCTCTCCTCACCCCTAGTAGGGAGCAGGTCCTATGGTCCCTTGAAGAGCCTGGCAAGTGCCCCTGACACTTGAAGCCCAGAGATAGGGGTCTTATTTCAGCCTAGAAAGTCAGTGATGTCTATGTCACGCATATTAAGGAGCCTGGCTGCCAGACAAAGCCCACTTCCTGCTTTGTCAGGCCTAAGTATTCCCAGCAGACCAATTGTAAGCATCTTCCGTGAAGGCCAGCACAGGGTCATCCTGTGACCTGTGGAAGAAGGCAGACCGCAGGAGGCCACCAAACCACAGGGCACAGCCCAGGGAGAAGCAGGCACAGCCAGAGTGGGGAAGTCACTCTCATTGATGGGGCTGCAAGGGGTGTCCCCAGAGACACAGGGTCACCAATGAACTAGAAGGATGCACCAGAGTCCATTCGGGCTTAGAACTCACAGCCCAGGCTAGATGGCAGCCACACCAGACATGAGAACTTTGTCCTTTACCTCCTTTGACTCTTCTTCTGGCCCCACCCCAACCACCACCTCCACCCTCTCCTGGAGATGGGAGATGGAGACCTCAGTTGCCAATAAGAGGAGTAGAAAGGGAAACAGGGAAAAGAAGAAGCTGTCACATGTATTCCTGGGGAGGTCTCTACTCTACGTGTACTCCCGGGGAGGGCTCCACTCTACATGTACTCCCGGGGAGGGCTCTATTCTACATGTACTCCCGGGGAGGGCTCTATTCTACGTGTACTCCCGGGGAGGTCTCTACTCTACATGTACTCCCGGGGAGGGCTCTATTCTACGTGTACTCCTGGGGAGGGCTCTATTCTACGTGTATTCCCGGGGAGGGCTCTATTCTACGTGTACTCCCGGGGAGGGCTCTATTCTATGTATATTCCCGGGGAGGGCTCTATTCTACGTATATTCCCGGGGAGGGCTCTACTCTACGTGTACTCCCGGGGAGGGCTCTATTCTACGTGTATTCCCGGGGAGGGCTCTATTCTACGTGTATTCCCGGGGAGGGCTCTATTCTACGTGTACTCCCGGGGAGGGCTCTATTCTACGTGTACTCCCGGGGAGGGTCCACTCTACAGCTGCCCTGCCATCATTCCTGATCTGCACATTGGGATTTGAGGGCACGGTTTGTATAATAATCCCTTTGTCATTTAGCCCAGGAAGTTTTTACCTTTGGAGAAAAATCAACTTTCCACTAAAGCCAGACCTTCTCTGGTCTGATCTTAATTTAATTTCAATTTGTTTGGATTATCAAAGTCTCATGTAGCTCCATCTTTTCGCCCCACCTGAAGAATAAGCCCTTGCCGTCAGAGCCAGTGTCTCATTCTCCCTCTGTCCCCTCAGCAGGACCTGAGCACCAGGCACAAAGGGTTGATGACTAATGCCACACCCTCTAGGGACACGCCACTGCACAAAGCAAGCTCCAAGCCGCAAGCAATGTGAGCCCACTGCGCTTTCAGACAGCCCAGCTAAACAGACCCAAGCCATCCCCAGCCTTTTCTCTCCCTGCGTTTCCAAGCCGTGGGTGGCACAAATAAAAATACCACCTGGCATTTGTATAGCACTTCACAGTTTCAAAGTCACCCTCAGAACCGCACCCCCTCCACGGCCCCAGACCATTCTCAACCAACCCGTGTCTAGCCACACCCCTGCTGTTCCTGGTGGCCAGCCCCGTGCCAGCCTCCACAGGCCAGGGCCACATGCTCCCCCTGGGGAATCCATGTGTTCTGTGAAGAGTTGCCTCAGAAAGAGTCAGATGGCCAGAAATGTGGGCAGAGAGAGAAGGGCCGCTTGTTCAGGTTTTGTTTATTATGTTCTCACAGCCGGTGTATAGTAAAGCTCAATGTATTCCACTTTACAAGGTGATGAAACAACTCAGTGCGGACTCGGTCAGCCAAGCGGTTGGTGTGGCAGATGAGTTGCTATAAACCTGTTGTGCTCCGTGAGTGACCAGCTAAGGCTACCGTGGTCAGTGCACATGCGGAACCTAGTCGCCTTTTTCTAACCTGGCAGAAGGGAGGGAGAGGAGGCGTTAAGTTCAAGAAATGGACAGTTGATTGAGAGGACTCTAAACCGGAAACCTGGTGAGGCCTTTAGTCCCATCCTGGTGTCTCCCTTTGTGGCTCACAGCATCTCGTTGGCTCCTTGAGAAGCCACAAGGACAGAAAGCCATCTCCCCTTTTGGCTTCTCCCTCCTCAGTCTCGTGCCAAGTGACATGGTGGCACAGGCTCCCAGGGTCAGGAGTGATGACCGAACCACCTCTGTTTTAACTACATGGGTATGGATTTAAGAAGAGCTGACACGTGGTCGATTGAAGGCAAGGGCGGGAAATCACAGTTCCTCTGCAGGGTCGGTGGAGTTCTGGGGTTGTTCTTGCTAGAAGACCATCCTGCCCATGAGCGTGTCCCTTTTCAGCTTTTCCTCTGGGACACGGAGATGCAACTACCATGCTAGTAGCTGGGGGCTCTCCTGCCCTGTCCCTTCCTCCTCAGGTGCCCCCTTGCCCATCCTCCCCCAGCTCTCAAGCCTCCCCTAAAAAGCAGAGTTTCTCCATTGTCCGGGGCTTGGGGCCCCTGTCCAGGACAAGCACCTGGGCAGAGTGTTCGCTTTTCACAGCTTTGGTTTCTCAGAGCGGCGAGTTCTGGGAAAGCACCAGAAAATAGAGCCAACTAGCAGCCATGGGACTAAAGAGAAAATGGCGAGGGCTTGAAGGAGGGAAAACACACCTTACTGCAGTCTCGGAAAAGCCTCCCAGATTTGATCCTCCCTGGGAAGAAACACCCTCCACAGAGGAACTTGGAAGCCGTTGTATCCCAATCATCACTACGAAGACACTCCTCACTCACAACCTGTATTCCCACTACCCTCCTCAGAGGCACACCCTGACACAGAACAACCAGACACAAGAATCTACGGAAACAAACAAGGTTAGGGTTCACAGGGCAAGCCTGGAGGAAGCGCTGTAAAAAAAAAAAAAAAAGCAGGGGAAGCCTGGCAAAACAGCTCTAAGCCCAGCGTCCTTCCTATTCCCCACCTTGGCGTGCATGACATGCTACCGACTAATGCATGTAGTGTAAACCCAAACATGCCCTCAAAGTAACAAGTCAGACTGAGAGGTGCAAAGCAACCCCCCTCAAGAGTCAGCTGCCAAGCAGGCAAGGGGTCCCGGTCATTTGCTTTTTGCCTTCAGGCCTTGCCCCACTGCTGTGTTTTACCCTTCAGTTCTGCTCCTCTTCATTCCTTAGGTAGCTGTTTCCTGACCACATCCGCACATTGGAACTGCTAGTGGAATATTTAAAAACTACCGCCACCTGGCTCCCACTAAACCTCTCTGATTTAACTATTCTAAGTCTAGTGAGCAGCGAGGTTGAGAACTACCATCTTGGGTCATCTTTGTCCAATGCCCACAGGCCATTACAAACTCAGAAGTCTTTTTTCTTTTTAAATGTTGCTTTATGGGTTCCTTCTCTAAATCTATAGGATCAGCATCTCTGAGTGTAGAACCTCGGAATTAGCATTTGTAAGGGGATTTCAAGGTGATCCCTATTATTCAAGCTCATGTTTAATAATAAATACTACAGAAGATTAACCCCCATTCCATCCAGAGTGCCCAAGCTGTCAATGACTGAGATCGACTTAGTCACAAGAGCCACAGCAAACCACAAACCAGAACCAAAATAAATGAATTCAGCAGAACCAGGACGCCACTCAGGGATGGAGAGCACTGTGTCCTGCTGCTGCTGCCAGGACTTGCCTGAGTTCGGGGCCAGTCATCAGCACATTCTATATGACCGGAGCAAAGGAAGACATTAAATGAAGTGGCATCTGTGATGACAACCTGGGGAGGTGGATGAGGCTCATGGGGGAAGAGATGAGGGGCGGGGACTGGGAGACAGGAGTTCATAGATGAGGTATGCTCGGATATTGCTCTAGATGTTGTAAACATTTCTGTTTCATCACAAACCAAAATCTGGGCTGGCATGACCAAAGTGCCTAAGAGGAGGTAACAGAGCGAGAAACTCAGTGCCTTCTGTGAGAAGCAGGGGAGCTAGAACATGTGAAAAGCTGCCCACATGGGAAGATCATGTCTGCAGTGTACAACCCAAGACTCACAATTCTCTCTCTCTCTCTCTCTCTCTCTCTCTCTCTCTCTCGTACACACACACACACACACACACACACACACACACAAATAGAACAATCTCTACTCCTCTACAAAGACACAGACTCATGTGCCCTTGTCTAGCTACAGAATTCAGGATACCCAAACTTGGTCCTTTGTACCTCCCACATGGGAAGGCGTCACTGGGGTGTCGTGACATCACCATCTGCAGCCTTCATTCCACCAATAGTTGGCAAGAACTCTAGCCCCAAATGAGGGTGCCACACAGTATATGTGGGGCCTTTTTGCATTGGGGTAGCGCAAGTGGCGAGAAAGCCCCTCCCCCAGGACATCTCCATCACTGCAGGTCCAATTTATATGCACCTCATACTGGACAGTAGCATTGGCAGCAGATGCACATTTCATATGTAAACAATGTTTAAAATACCCTGTTAGAGAATTTAATCATTACATTAACTCTGGCAGCTTTAGCTAAGATATTTGTATATCAGGGTGGGGAAATCTATCTGACCTAACTAGGAACGCCATCTGAAGCTTCAGAGTTCTTACTGTGACTGCCATGGGTCTCTTCAGTGTGGGGCCTAGGAAACAGGTGTTTTTTAATCTCTCCTTGAGGTTCACACACAGACACCAACACCCATTCACAGATGACACTGTGCCACTCGGAGGGCAGTTGGCACTAACACGATGGGACTCAAGGGCCTTCTTAGCCTTGTCCACTACAACCAAGGAAGGAACTGATTCTCCAAGACCAGAATTCAAACCCTAGAATATCCCAGAAGGGCTAGGCTCCCATAAAAGCAGAGTGTCAGCCCAGCCTTCCTCCACCTGCTATCCAGGGCAGCCTGGCTATGGATTATTTCAATCGCTCAAGCTGAAAAGTTTGTGGTTCTTCCGTGAACCCATGTTGACTAGCTGTGGATTATCCCAAGTAGTGCCTCTGCCACATTTTCTGTGATCCAGTCCACCCAGAGACCAGCAGCTTCCAGGTTCGTCTTCTGTTTCCTGGTTCGATTTCTCCTGGATAACCGCAGAGATTCCATGCTGCTCCTGGCTCTTCCAAGAAAGTGTATCCAGGTACATTTCCAAGATACCCCAGGGTACCACACAAGCCTTGTAGGAACATTTCCACAGCCTGGTATTCACAGTGATCTTCCCAGTTCGTGTTTAGTCCCAGAAGCCAGAGACCAAGAAGGCAGCTACTTCTCAATAGCCAAGAGTGGACCCTTTCTAAGGAAGTGTGCTTAGGAAACCAGCTGCAAGGGGAATGTCAGCCTAGGATCCCATTCTCCCCCATCGTGGTCACATGACCTGCATGGAAGGAGGGGGTGGCATGGCAGGAGAGCACTAGGAAAGCTGTCATGCTGTGGGAATTCACCTCCCTTCGCCAAACTGCCTATTGTCCTAGAGATCAGGGACGTGTGACGCCATGGGGAGGTGAGGGCACAGAATGCATTAGGCAACAGACAGGTTCTACAGAGGCTCATTGCACAGAAGTTCGCCGATGCTACATTCCCTGGTCACTCCACGTCTAGAAAAGTTCTCGATAAATTGGGGAAGATTCCCGAGGTCTCTCTTTCAAAAGGACAGCTCCACTCAGAAGTCATGGGGGGAGTCTCCCAAGACCTTCTCTAGAGCTGCAAGTGTAGGAAGTTCATTGAATTCCTTAGGCTAAGCAGGGACCCCAGACTCCTCCCATAGTGGTCCTGTGGAGATGGAAGACTCAGTCAACTCCAAGGAATATGTCCTTTGTCAGAGGTCACCTGTCAATGGTGCTAGGAATCTGAAATTCCAAGAGACCTCTCTTCTAAACCGTGAGGTCCAGTTACTCAGGTTGGACTACCGGTTCGTGACCGCGAATCCCAGGTGAAAACCTGAGTCTTCTAGCTACTCCTCCCTTGGGTAGAGGACCGGGTGTAGATCAGGAATCCTGCTGGAGAGGGCATGGTGTGGAGGTGATGGGAACTGCGTTTGCATTATTTACAAATAGCCCAGCACAGTGAATCTGCCTTCTCAGTGGAGATGACGGAAGAAGGCGTATCTTGAAGGGCCAGGTACTGGCCCACCCAGAGATGGATGTCAGCAGCGCTGCTACCTCTAACCAAAACATAAATCTGGGTAAATGGAAGAGCGTCCCAGCTCCAGAAGCTGGGTCATACTTTGGAACAGCCCTTCATTCCCTGGTCACCCCCAGCCTCCCACCTCAAGCCCCAGCGCCTTTGAACACTTAGGGTGTTTCACATTAGAATATGGTCTTGGCAGCAAGGGGAAGGGAAAGCCAATGACTCCCAAGAGTCCCCATCTGAGGTCTAACTGAGCCTTCTCTGGCTTTGGGACAGCAGATCTAAGTACATTTTGGACCTCAGGAACCTGGGATAAGAGTCTTTCTCCATGAGGCTGTGTACTTTGCCCTGTGCTTGGTCAAAACAAGTCAGGGATGGTTCCTGCATGTTCTTCCTCGTCGCTTCTCGGGTCTGGAAATCGATATTCACCTGGAGATACAAACAGAGAGAGCAAGGTCACAGACCTCCGGAGGCAAAGGCACCTACTAGACAGTGGGCCCAAGCTATGGAAAAACCACCAATGGTGGTATTTCACAACTTTAGGGTCATGGATGCTTCTCAAACTGATTTTATGGGGTTTGTTCCTTGGGATTCCAGCAGGAGTCTGAAGTCCCAACAGTCTTAAATTGAAAATAAGGTGAGTGAAGAGAAGAGAGACCAGCTGGGTTTGGTGGCACATGCTTTTAATCCCAGCACTTAGGAGGCAGAGGCAGGGGGATCTCTGTGAGTTCGAGCCCAGCCTGGGTCTGCATAGTGAGTGCCAGGACAGCCAGTATTATGTAAAGAGACCATGCCTCAACAACAATAATAATAAATACAAAGCTTATCTAAAGCAGGCGGGTTAGTACTAGAACCATGGCAATAATCCTCAAATCGACAGATCCTAATCAAGAATCTTCATACCACAGTAAGTTGAGTTTCAAGCCAGTTGTTAATGAAGGCTCCCCTAAGCTTTCCCTCTCATCTTAACCACCAAGGTCAATGGATGCCGAATATAGACAGACCCCAGTAAACATACATCTCTCTATATGTCACCATATAGAGGCCAATAGCATTCCACCCAGCTTGTAAAGATCTCACAACCCATGTCAAAGTTACACCTAAATACAGATAGCAAACCGTTCATCAGTTAAACCCTTCCTAGGGACGCGCCGTATTAAAACTCAGAATACTTATACATAATTATAATACAGCAATGAAAGTGACTATAAATATTCATTGATGAGCAACAGCAAACACTCAGTAGGTGCTTTATCTCTAACACTTAGAGTAGCCTTGAAAGGTGTGGCGTTATCCTCTCCTACATTGGGGAAAAATTAGACTCAGGGAGAGTGAATGAAGTCAGGATGGTCGCACATAGTGGCAGGACTGAGATGGCTTGCAAAATCCTTTAAAAGAGGGTTCTTACTCCCTTAAAAGCCTTTTATTTTTGTTTGTTAGGGGACAGTTCAGAGGACAATTCGCACGAATCATTTCTCTCCTCTATCACATGGGTGTAGAGATCAAACTCAGGTCACCTGGCTCGGCAGCAGGTGTCTTTACTCAATGAGTTATTTCCGTGACCCCTGTGCTGCTTTTAATAGGAAAACAGACACGGGCTCCAGGGAATTTACCCTTGTGAAATCATTGCGGCAACACAGCCTGGGTAATACATGTCAGGCAGACAACAAAAACACTCCTTTCCTGAAAACTCTGGTCTTTCACCTCTCCAAGGCTACCCCTTTCTCATCAGCTCCACCAGAGGTGGGAGGCCCACCGGAGCAGGAGGAAATCCTGGGGACTTGGCTCAGATGCCCTCCAAGACCTCAGGGGACAGTTGTTATGCCCAACACACCTCCCGTGGAGCCTGCACATCCACGAACTCCTCAAAGATCCTGTGGGCCTTGGAGACCAGCTTTGCAGTCGACCTGGTCTTCTTGAACTCCTCGCAGGCCAGCCAGAACTCCAGGTTCTCCTCGCTGAACTCCGTCTTCAAGAAGGCACGGAAAGCCGCCACCCCATCTACAGATGCGGAGAAGAGGTGACAAAGCAGACAGGGAGGAAGAAGCTTGAGTCCAAAGACTGCAGATGAAGGGGAAACAGCACTATTGTGCTCTTGTCCTCACTGTCCAAATCTGCTGCCCCCGCCCCCATGACACATAGCTACCCTCAGAGCAAGCCGTGCATCTTGTCCAAGGACCAGCGTGAAGTATCAGACAGAAGTGTTTAAAATCCCATAGTAATGACAGTAGTGGGTATGCTCGGTCACTCCTGACAAACTCTGCCGTCCATCGATGCAGAGCGGGCTGAGGTCTGCAGGTGAGCCTGCATCGCTCCTCAGGCCAAGGTGAGAGGCACTATTCATTCTCTGCCTTAAGCCAAGTCCACACCAGAGAGAAAACATGGGCCTTTGTAAGACAAGCTGAACAGAAATATAGATGTCTCGGGCCAACCCTTTTCAGCTATCAGAAACACATTCAACAGAAATTTAGCCCGTCACAGTCTTTTGCAAGGATAGATAGCACTCTCTGTCTTTTAGAAAACCCTTGAGGGCATGTATCTGGTGTTTCAGTCTATTCGTTTTTACTTTGAAATTTGCCTATCAAATTAGATTTTTAAAAAGTTTTTAAAATTACACGTGTGTGTGTGTATGCATGTGTGTGCGTGTGTGTGCGTGTGCATGTGCGTGTGCGTGTGTGTGTGTGTGTGTGTGTATGTGTGTAGGTCAAAGGACGACTTGCATGAGACAGTTCTCTCCTTTCCTGTGTGGGTCCTGGACATGGTCCTCAGGTTATCAGGCTTGGTGAAACAGGTGCATTAAACCTCTCCCTGACCCAGAGTATAGGCTTTAATTGAGGTTGATTATATTTTTCTGCCTATTTATCTAATGGCTAATCCAATCTTTCCTCTTATTAGTCAACATCATAGTACTGCCAAACAGTGTTTTCAGTCCACACCGATGGGTGGGGCGGGAAATGACAGCTATTATAGGCTGCGCTTCCAACCGTGCTTTATTTGAAAAAGTTTGTGGTCAGCTGTTCTAACTCTTGGTGTGATGACAATGACAGCTTTCCAAAAAGAGTCCCCAAAGTGAAGAGCACCCTAGAAAAAGGTGCCAAACTGGAAGGGAAAAAAATGATTCAATGACCATTTTTATGTTTTTTGTAAAATTCATGTTACCATTTTTGATACTGGGCATTAAACCAAATCCTCTACATACTATGCAAGTGATCTATCTACCACTGAGGTGTCTGGCATTTCTCCTCCTTGCTACTTTGTTGCTGGCCTTTAATTTAACTCCATAGCCCAAGCAGGGCTCAAACTTGTAATCTTGCCTCAGCCTCCTGAGTGAAGCCTGGCTGAGAGGACATGTTTGCACATGGAGAAGATGGTGATAGGAAGACAGAGGCATGCGCACAAAGGCGAGAGCTTTCAAGACACTTGTTAGAGTATTGGGAAAGGGCTTTAGAAAGATCGGTCGGTGATAGGAAAATAGATCCAATTTACTGGGCCTGCCTTTCAGATAGGCATACACAGAGAGATCGGTGGAAGAGCCAGAGAGTTGAGGAGCTTGCACAGCACTGCAGAAGGCCAGGAGAGAGAGCTCTGCATGGAGGAGGAAGTGGCCACTGTGTGGAATGCCTGTCAAGCTGGACAGAGAGTGAGAAAGTGAGAAGGTCCACTGGACGCAACTATTGGTATGAACAACATCCAAGGTGTAATGCAGCCCCTGCACGTTTTCCTGATGTGGGATTCCCCTCTGTATGCTGTGAATATCATTGGTTAATAAAGGAACTGATTTGGGCCTGTAACAGAGCTATAGGGGAACAGAGCTACACGGGAAGAAAGAAAGGCAGAGTCAGGGAGAAGCCATGGAGCTGTCGCTGGAGACAGATGTGCTGAAACTTTGCTGATAGGCCAAGACCTCGTGGTGATGCACAGATTAATGGAGCTGGGTTAAATTAAGATGTAAGAATTAGCCAATAGGAAGCTAGAGCTAATGGGTCAAGCAGTGACTTCATTAAAACAGTTTCTATGTGACTATTTCGGAGCTAAGTGGCCAGGAACAAACAAGCAGCCCCTCCTCCAACAAATTCTCTCCCTCCAACATTTTCTTCTCTTCATCTCAATCTACCTTTTGATGGCATAATGGTTGCTTTTCTTATTGCTTATTTGCAAAGTATCTGGCAAAGGCATCCTAAGGAAGGGTCTGTCACGGGGAAGTCATGACATCAGAGGTGTGAGTAGCTGATGGTATTACATCAGCTGTGTGCTGTGGTAGGGACAGCCATGAACGGAGAAGAGGACGTGGGAAGCATTCACTCAGATATGTCTGGCAATAGAAAGGAGAGCACACAGCATAGCTAAAGGGAACCACGAGACCAAAGTTTCTCTGTTTGCTTTCTAGACGGTTTTGAATATATTTAAGTGCTGGTATGGACAGAAAAATATTTTGAAGAAGAGGAAGTTCAAGAAAGGCTTGAAAGGTGGACAAAGTGGCTGAGCACAGAGAGATGGAGGAAGAGAGAGAGAGAGAGAGAGAGAGAGAGAGAGAGAACTGAGGGAGAGCACAGGGCGGCCTCTGTTTTACAGTGGGAGCAGCAGGACTCTCGTCTGGTAGCAGTTGTGGGAGGTGATGGGGCTATGAGAGGCAGAGTTTTTATTTTTATTCATCCAGGAGTTGGGTCACAGAACTTTACTTACTGTATCTCAGGCTTTTAGTCTAAGATCTACAAACCCCCACTGAATTTCTCTTCACCACAATGCTGATCGGTAATAGATATCATTTCTTCATTCATTCATAGCCTATCTTCTCCAGCTGTGCCTTAGGCTAGATGTGGTGGTACCCACCTGTAATCCCGTAATCCCAGCACAATCGAGAGGCAGAGGCAGAACAATCAGGGCAATGTCATGCTCAGCTACATGGTGAGTTCGAGACCAACATAAACTAAAGGAGGTTAGAGCAGGAGAGAGGAAAAGGAAGGAGGAGTAGAGAGAAGGGGAAGGGAAAAAGCAAAACTAAGCTAAAACTTAGAGAAGTTGAATAAACGGACCAACTTCACAGCTGGTAAGAACCAAGATTCCTGACCAGGTCCACCTGATTCCAAAGCAAGATCTTTCCAGAGGTGTATACAAGAAAAAGAGGGATAAGGGGAGAACTCAGAGAGCAAGGGCTGGTATTGGGGAAGGCAGATTTTAGAGAGAGACTGAGAAGAAGTGGGGGAGCTTTTCTTCATTAAGGACGAGAGTAAACAAACAAAACAGGGGGGGATGAAGACAGAAACAGCCAGCGATGGGACATAGTCGAGATGCATCAAACAGGACAGCCTTGCTCTTTATTAATTTGGGAAATGAGGCTACACTCAAGTACTAGGCTTTGAGCTGTGGCGAATAAATCATATAAAACCTGACAGAACTTTCCAGACAGTCTAATGTAACAAGAATTAGGGAATAATGTCAAATAATGGATTATGTCCTCATAAGTGCAGCCTGTGCTACGTTGGGTAAGTGAATGCACAACAGGAAAGAGAAACAATCCTGAAGGCTTGGGCGTTGGTTCCTGGAGACAGTTTCCATGCACAAAGAAGGGCGCAAAAACTTTCAGTTTGGGGATGGATCCATCCTTCAAGGAGTGGACCATTCAGTCCAGGCTGCTGAATAACCCTGACCTTAGAGAGCAGCAATTTCGGAGCTGGCAGTTAGAACAAAGAAAAGCAGAAGAGCAGAAGAAGCTTAAAAACAAGGCCGAAGTCAGGATACACATCTTAAAACACTCCCTGCAGTCATTTGCTGGGTGCTTACTTGGCCACACCAAGTTCTTTCTGAGCCTTACAGAATTTTTTCCTCATGGAAGATCCATGGCATAGATCTTAATTTTTTTTTTTTTTTTTTTACCACTGAGAGGAAAGAAAAACAAAGGTTGGGGAAGGTAAATAACTTGCCATAGTCATGTGATTAGTTAGCGACAAGAATGCCAAGTTCAGAAGTAAACATTAGGGGGCTGCAGAGATGGCTTAGCAGTTGAGAGCACTTGTTGCTCTGGCTGAGGACCTAGGTTTGATTCCCATCAGTGATCTACATGGTGGCTTACAACCATCTATAACTCTAGTTCTAGAAGATCAGACTTCCTTTTCTGACTTCTTGGGGTACCAGACATACATGTGATGAACACACATACATGAAGGCAAACATCCATATACATAAAATAAAACAGATCTAAAATAAAGAAGAAGACATTATTAGTATATGTGTGGGTGGGCTGTCTCCAGACCTGTAGGACTTGGGGCCTAAGAACTGCTTAGGTGAGACAGGAAGGAGTCCCATGCAAGGCAAGACATGGAGCAATGGGGAACATTGTGGATGGAATATTCTTCTGAGTGACAGCAGAGGGTAGAGTGGAAAAAAACGAAGAAAGTCACTTAGGTAGAACAACACATACAAAGACGGGTGCAGGCCTCAGATTCGGTGATTGCTACACAGGTTGGAAACTGGAAGGGATATGTGTGGTAAATTCACAGGCCGCTCGGCAGCACCCGCGGTTTCTCAGGCAGCCTGCCAAAGATCACCAAGCCTATCCCCAAGTAGAGGCAGCATAGGCCTCACTTGAGAACACCAATTCCGAGCACAGCCAAGCCCACACTCTCTATGACCTTGCAGAGCACATCCAGCTCGGCTGGTCTCATCATCCTCACTGAGGAAGGAAGGGTAGGCTGGAAGACCTTTCCCAGGTAGAGTTACTGTTCTGTTCCACATCAGCTTAGACCTGTCCTCATCAGATGTGACTCTTAGCCAACTAAAAGAAAACGGCCCCCAAAGGGAGTGGCACTATTGGGAGGTGTGGCCTTACTGGAGGAAGTGTGACACTGTGGGGTGGGCTTTATTGTCTCTTTTACTCAAGCTTCCCTCAGTGTGACTGTCAGTTCGACTTTTTGTTGCCTCTGAATCAAGATGTAGCACTCTCTGCTCCAGCGCCACATCTGCCTGCATGCCATCATGCTCTCTGCCATGATGATAATGGACTG